TTTTAGTGATGTTACTAAATCTAAGTGGATGCCTTTGGTAGAATTAGAAAACACATTACACACTGAGTACTTCTTGCCTGTGCACTGAAGTCTTACTTTCAAAAGGTTAAACAGTACATTAGAAAATAGTAGGGGGCTAACAGCTGAGCTGTAATTAAGAAAGTATTTCTTTACCATTGGAATATTTGCAAATTATTTTGGTAAAAATATTAGCAAATAATTTTGAACTTTGATGGAAAAAAAATCTAAGAAATCATTCTTTTTGCCTATAAGCAGTGGAAATACTTATCTATGCCTTCAGCAAAAGAAATGGTTTGCTAACTTCTTGTGTTTATACACTGATATCCAAGTTGACTCATTTCTGAATACACATCTGAAACTGAAAAAATATTCTTTGATGGAATTCTCCCATCCAAAACGAAGGCACATGATGTCTTGTTTTCTTCTTTTCTTAAAAAAGCTTGAATCTAATTAACGTTGCATCTGAGAATATGTGGAAACTACTCTATGTTGCATATCAATATCATTCCAGTACTAATGTTATTATGTGCTTAGCTGCAGGCATGTAAGAACTAGGGCATAATGTGACAGAACCTTTAACTGCTGAAAAACCACAGAACTTATGCCTGGGGTGGGGGAGGGGGGGAAACACAGATATAAAAATTCTCAAAATTCTATACAATTTCTGGAGTTTCATAGATACTTCTAACCCAAATCCTATTTAAAAAATCCTTTGGTTAAAATCTGCAAAAATCCTCAACAAAATATTACCAAATCAAATCCAAAAAAGTCTAAAAAGAATTATGCACCATGACCAAAAGGGATTTGTTCCAGGTATGTAAGACTGCTTCAACACTCAGAAATCAATTAATGTAATCCATCAGTAATGAAGAAGTCAGAGGACTGATGACCATCTGCTTTTAATGCTTATTATAAAGCTACAATCATCAAGAGAATGTAGTATTGGTGAGTGAACAAACAGGTCAGTGAAACAGAGTCCAAAAATAGATCCATACAGCAGTCAACTGATCTCTGACAGAGGAGTAAAAGCAACGAAAGTGAGCATAGAATGTCTTTTTAACAAATAGTACTAGAACAACTAGACATCCACATGCAAAAAAAAACTAAACATAAAACTTTTCACCTTTCACAAAAATTAGTTCAAAATAGATTACAGATCTATATGTAAAAAGCAAAACTATAATAAAACATTTAGAAGATAACACAGGAGAAAATCTAGATGATCTTGGGTTTGGTGATGACTTTTTTAGATACAACATCAAAGACACGATTCATAAGAGAATTGATAAGCTAGTCTTCACTTCAATGAAAAATGTCTGCTTTTTGAAAAGACACTGCCAAGAGACTGAAAAGAAAAGCCATAAACTGGGAGAAAATATTTTCAAAAGACACATCTGATAAAGGACTATTATCCAAAATATGCAAAGAACTCCTAAAATTCAACAGTAAGAAAACAGATAACCCAATTAAAAATGGGCCCAAAACATTTTAACATTGACTGTAGTGATGGCTACAGAACTCTATGAATATACTAAAAACTATCTAATTATATACTTTAAATGGGTGAATTGTATGGTATACGAATTCTAACTCAATAAAGCTATCAAAAAAAAAAATGGGTCAAAGACTTTAACAGACACTTCACCAAACACATACAGATGGCAAAGAAGCAGATAAAAACATGCTCCACATTCTATGTCATCAGAGAAATACAAATTAAAACAAGACACCGCTACACACTATTTACAATAACCAGGACATGGAAGCAATCTAAAAGTTCATCGACAGAGGAATGGCTGAAGATGTGGTACATACAATGGAATTTTAGTCAGTCATAAAAAAGAATGAAATAATACCATCAGCAGCCACATGGATGGACCTAGAGATTATCATACTAAGTGAAGTCAGACAAAGTATCATATGGTGTCACTTATATGTGAAATCTTTTTTAAAATGATACAAATGAACTTACTTATAAAACAGAAACAAACTCACAGATTTTTTTTTTCTTTTGATGTGGACCATTTGTAAAGTCTGTATTGAATTTGTTACAACATTGCTTCTGTTTTATGTTTTGGTTTTCTGGCCATGCGGCCTGTGGAATCTTAGCTCCCCGAACAAGGAATCTAACACAACCTCAGCACTGGAAGGTGAATTCTTAACCACTGGACCACCAGGGAATTCCCTCACTTCATTTTTCAGAAGTGTGAAAATGTGCACAACTAGACAGGTACATCTGTGCTCAGGTAAGTTTATGTGTATAACAGTGAATGAATTCTAGAGATGACTGGGTTGGAACGCTCCATTTACAGAGGAGAAAACTGTAATTCAGAGAAGTCAAGCAACTTTCTCACATTGATACATTTAACTGCAGGGGCTCACCTGGAACCCACTTCTGATGATTCCCAGTCCTGCGCCCTCTCCAGTGTAACTCACTGAATCAGTCCTAGCTGTCTGTGCTACTCTAGAAATCATTTTCCTTAATAGAAATCTCAGCACCTCTTTATGTTGGTGTGTAAATCTATGTGCCCGTGTCAGTGAGCATGCAGCGAATGTCTACGTGTCTCCCTGCGAGTATTTGTAAAGCATATCGTGTCAACCATATCACCTCTGTTTATGCCCTGTTTATGCCCTTTCTCCAGGGGAAACCTCTAGTTACAGTTCCTTATGTCCCCNCTTTATTTAGTCTCTAATTAAAAAAAATAATGATACATTATATTCATGGTTAAAAAGCAACATCATTAGAAAAACTAAGTAGCTCAGTAGATACTAGTTAAGCAGACACAACGCTCCTTAAGAAGGGTCCACTTTTTGTTATTGGCCTGGCAAAAAGTACAATGCCTCTTCATAGTAGTAGGGGTACAATAAATGACTAGATCAACAGAATGAATAATGGCTTTACTTAATTTCACTGCCATCATTTATTCTACTTATCATTCTTACCTATAGAATACCCAAATAGTATCTGCTAAATTAAGTACATTAGTATTTGCGAACTAGATACATTTAGTATCTGCTAAATTAAATACATTAAGTCACCACCCTTTGGGTGAGGAGTGCTCAAACTGAACCCTATATGAGAGTGCCCTCTGGTGGTTTCACGGACAATGCTTTTTATCAATGTGAAGTATGTTAACAATCCATTCCCTTCTCCAGGGGATCATCCCCACCCAGGGATGGAACCCAGGTCTCCTGCCTTGCAGGTGGACTCCTTACCATCTGAGCCACCAGGGAAGCCCCAACAACAATCCACCTCAGCAATGGAAGGAAATATGAGAATAAGGACTGGGTAGTAGTATTTTCATGAAGCTAAATTTATTCCATTTAAAGAATCATCAGACCTTATATATTTTTTTTAATTTCTGAAAAAACAAACTAATCTTCCATGAAATGTTAGTGATGGTGGACAACAGGTTACATCTCTGAGGTGGAAAATGGGAGAAGCTGAGTGGAGGTGAAGGTGGTGATGAAATACGTCCTTATTCAGCAATTCGTGAAACCCAGAATTCCAGGAACTACAGTGTTAATTACAATGTATGATATTTCCAGTACAAACAAAACTAATTCTCCAAAGCACTCACATGTATATGTGCGCTTTGGACATATCACAACCTAACGATCTCTACTTAGTAGATCCTAGCATTTAGAAGAAAATTTGTCATTTAGTTTTTATAATCTTACTACTTTCATAATGGCATATCTCAATCTTTGTAAAATATTGGATATAAATCAACTGGAAACAAACTATTTTTGATGATATATCACCAAATATAAGTGGTTAATATTTCAGATTATTAAATTCTATTGATTTGTTTTTCCTTTGCTTTTCCCCCCAAATGAGTAACATATTGTTTTATTTCCTTTATACTTTCCTATTATTCCTACATTTTACTGAACACTTGAACCTTCACCTTCCTTTATGAAAAGAACTAGATTAAGCAATAGAATGTGAAATCATTTTTCACATCCAATTGACAAATATTGCACAAGTTTGAATAAAGTAAATTTCCATCTTAACAGACTTCTCACTTCCTAAGGAGAAATCACAGAGGCAGCAATGCTGATCATATATAAGCTGGTAGTGATAATCAACAGAATAGACTATTAATATCCTTCTAAGAGGAACCAGAGACCAAATCGCAGAGAAATCAGAGATAAAATTGCCAACATCCATGGGATCATAAAAAAGCAAGAGAGTTTCAGAAAAACATCTACTTCTGCTTTATTGACTATGCCAAAGCCTTTTTGTGGATCACAACAAACTGTGGAAAATTTTTCAAGAGAAGGGAATACCAGACCACCTTACCTGACACCATAGAAATCTGTATGCAAGTCAAGAATCAATAGTTAGAACCGGACATGGAACAACAGACCAGTTCCAAATCAGGAAAGGAGTACGTCAAGGCTGTGAATTGTCACCCTGTTTATTTAACTTATATGCAGAGTACATCATATGAAATTCAGGAGACCTTGGTTCGATCTATGGTTTAGAAAGATCCCCTGGAGAAGGGCAAGGCTCCCCACTCCAGTAATCTGGCCTGGNGGGGGTGCGGCGCAGGCGGCAGGTGGGGGAGAGGGAGCAGCAGACCTGCCACATAACAAGAAGAAGAGAGGGTTTAAAGATATCACTCTGTAGTGAGGAGTGGAAAAGATGGAGAAGCAGAGACCTCCCTGGTGGTTCAGTGTTAAGAATCTGCTTTGCAATGCAGGGGAGTGGGTTCGATCCCTGGTCGAACATGCCACATGCCACAGAGCAACTAAGCCTGCACATTGCAACTAGAGAGTCCATGCACTGCAACAAAAGATCCTGTATGACACAACTAAGACCCCGACACAGCCACATAAATAAACACATACTTCCCATTGACTTATAAAACAGAAAGAAGGAGAAGTAGCAAGATAGAAATACACAAATAACCACATAAATGGAATAAATGTCTGCTCTTCACATTTCAGAATATCAGGTTATCGGGTAGCTCTTAATATATGAAAAGATGTTTTATTATTATTTTACTATATAACATATTAGTGAATATACCCAATTGTATCTTCTCAAAAGGCAAATGAGATCCAGGGTAGCATTCCTCTTTGATTCCTAAAAACATCAATATCATCTGTCTTTTGGAGGATTCAGTTTCCTACGACGTCTATGATACCTTGAAAGGAAGAAAACATTTAACATAAGATTATTTTAATAAAAGTTAACTGTTCCTGATAGAAATATCAAATTTGTATTAGCTTGGTGTTTACTGGCACTCAAAAAAAAAAATCAATGAAACATAATACATATACATGCCTAAAATAGATATTTCTTAATAATAAGCCATATTTCCCTGCTGTGAAAATTTTCTATTAATTAAGCATTTGGAAAGTCTTTTTTCACATCTTGAGGTAGTTTCAATATGGTAATCTAGATGACTGTTCCTTAACTTAAATCTAATCATTGTCTTTGGAGTAAAGAAACACCATATTGTGAATATGAAGAATACACTCTATTGAAGTTTTATTTAAAAGGGGATGATCAGCTCTAAATGGAAGCCTCTTAAGCTTCAAAATCATGTTTTAATAAACAATAGAAAAAAAAAACCAATAGAATATAATTAGTAGTATGTACATGGAAAATGTGCAGTATCACAAAAAATGGAAGAATACAAATATAAAGTGAGAAATCTTTTCCCTTGTTTTTGCAATCACAAATAATTTTTAAATTATAATGCACAATGCAACTATAGGTATGGTGAACTAAGCAATATCACACCCAACTGCTTAAAGTATGCATCAGTATAACATTTGAAAACCAGTGTGACACTATCAAAATTTTTTTTATTAATCATAACTTTTGATCTAATAATTCCTCTCTGGAAATCTATCCTAAAGCAAATCTTAATATGAAAATATTAAATATATAATATTAAATATTAAAGGGGGAAGGGATGATATAGGATTCAAATTTATATATATAGTATGATTAAAACCATGTAAAAATAGGCAAACTATTAAAACTTATGTATAGAAAGAGAGAAATAAAATGCACTGTTACCAGTGACTGAAGTGTTTTCACCATGGAGAATTCTATTTTCTTTTTTCAATTTTCTCTTTTCAATTCTTTTTTCAATAAAGAACTCTTTCTTTATTGAGTCAAGAAAATTTCTGCACAGAGTACATGGGCTTTCAGTGATGAGTTCTCTTCAAAAATTCCCTTAAGGCGAGACTGTGGCAAATTGATCTGAGTTAATTTTTAACTTTTTTGCTAGTGTGGAAATTCAATGTAAAGATATCTATACCATAAGTGACAAGGGATGTATCTTATGTCCTTCAGTTGTGATTAAGATGATCTCAAGTATTTTTTGCTTATCTTAAAGGTTTCATACAGGCAACTTTCCTATATACTGCTNAAGATATCTATACCATAAGTGACAAGGGATGTATCTTATGTCCTTCAGTTGTGATTAAGATGATCTCAAGTATTTTTTGCTTATCTTAAAGGTTTCATACAGGCAACTTTCCTATATACTGCTTTTTGATAAACTGCAAAATACAGAAATTAAGTTAAATAAAGGAAGTACATCTGTATATACTAACATGGAGCACTAAGTTGCAGGATAACATATCGCATATTATCACTCACCTAAACACGTCTACATATATTTATATTGGCATTGAGAAGATTACGGTTTTCTTAAGGGCTCCAGTTATATGCCATATAATCAAGGTTTTACTAGCACAAGGGTATTCCTGAAAGATGTTCTGTAAAAGCTAAGAGACACAGAATAGAGGTTTGGGAGGTTACAAACTTCCTGCAATTATTTATTAAAGTTTGAACATGTATTTATTTTCCGGGGAAGTGGATTAATAGGTTTCACTGGATTCTCAATGAAGTCTGTGGTTCTAAAAATCTAAGCACTGTCCTACACAAGTGTGATTCAGCTTACAATGCTCAAACATTTTCACTACTCAAGATGCTTAAGGCCCAAAAACACTTGGGAGATCTTAATAGCCCTGAACCTAACAAAGTCAAATTCTAAAATATGATCAATAAATGTCAAATAGCACTTACAGACTTTTTATCATGCATGAATGTCAACACTTGGAAGCAAACACCTGAACTTTAAGATGCCCTTATGACTTATCCAAACTGGTATCATTTAAAGAATAAAAACCTGTTCTATTAATAATTAACAAAACAGTTAAACTGAGACAGTTGCTGGCAAGGCAAAACATATTGTTACCACTCTTAAATTACACAATGACTCAGTGATATCTGAAAGATCTGTCCACAGCTCTTAGTCCAGGATAGAACTTCACCCCCTGATTCACAATGCAGCTGGATGTTCAATGTTTCCTACTGATGGTGAGAGTTAATTTTTGTTGCCTCCATGGGAAAATACTCAAGTCACTCTTAAAGAGGTATTGCTACTCAAATATTTATAGAATATTGCTTTATATTTCAGAAATATAGAATTATGTTCCATATCCTTCTTACTTTCAATCCAGACTTCTTTCAGTCCTTCCATCCTTTTTTTCAACATAACTGTACATTTTGTGGAATTATGTTACCTATTTTCTTTTTTAAGAGATATTATGAAAATCAGAATCATTCAACGAATGAATCTTATTCAAATATGTGGAGCATCTACTACATAGCAGGCATCATTTTTAGGTGCTAAAGTTTCTGTGGTACACAAAACATGACAAAATCCCCACCCTCATGAAGCTTACATTCCAGTATATTAGACGGAAAAATAAGATAAACAAGTTGGCTAAGGAAGGCTTCAGTGATAAAAACTCCAAAGAATGGGTGATGGAATTCCAGGTGAGATATTTCAAATCCTAAAAGATGATGCTGTTAAAGTTTTGCATTCAATATGCTAACAAATTTGGAAAACTCAGCAGTGGCCACAGGACTGAAAAGGTCAGTTTTTCAAATCCCAAAGAAGGGCAATGCCTAAGAATGTTCAAACTACCATACAATTGCACTCATTTCACATGCTAGCAAGGTAATGCTCAAAATCCTTCAAGCGAGTCTTCAATAGCGTGTGAACTGAGAACTTTCATATGTACAAGGTAGATTTAGAAAAGGCAGAGGAACCAAAGGTAAAACTGTCAACATCCACTGGATCATAGTAAAAGAGAATTCCAGAAAAACATCTACTTCTGCTTCATTGACTATGCTAAAGCTTTTGACTGTGTGGATCACAACAAACTGTGGAAAATTCTTGAAGAGATGGTCCAGACCACCTTATCTGCCTCCTGTGAAACCTATATGCAGGTCAAGAAGCAANAGACTCTGATGCTGGAAAAGATAGAGGGCAGGAGAAGGGGACGACAGAGAACGAGATGGCTGGAAGGCATCACCAGCTCAATGGACTTGAGTTTGAGCAAGCTCGGAGAGATGGTGAAGGACAAGGAAGCCTGATGTGCTACAGTTCATGGGGTTGCAGAGTCAGACACAACTGAGTGACTGAACAACAACAATAATGGGTCTGAGGTGGAAGGAAGGGCATGTTGAAGGAACAGCAAAGAGGTCATGAGGTTGGAACAGTCTGAAGATGGAAGAGAACAATTGGAAATGAGAATAGAAAGGTAATAGAGGACCAGATCACGTAAATTCCTGTAGATAATAGGTAAGGCCTATAGTTTTTTCTGAGTGAGATGGAAAGCTGTTGGAGGTTTTTCAACAGAAAAATTATAACTAACAGAATTCTGGCTGTGTGTTCAGAACAAACTGCAGGAAAGCAAAGGCTCAAGGAGGGAGACCCATTAGAAAGCTTCTTCTATGAACCAGGCAAACGATGGTGGCACAGACGAGATGATGGCAGAGGGAATGGTGATAAATGGTCAAATTTATCATGTAATTTATCATTACATTTTGGAGACAGAGGCAACAGGATCTGCTGATAGACCAGATGCTGGGGGTGAGACAAATAGAAAAGTTAAGAATGGCACCAAGATTTCTGGCCCAAGCAGCTAGAAGAATGGAACCGGCATTAACTGAGACAGGGAAAATTGTAGGAGAAGCTGGTTTGTGAGAGACACATTAAATTAAGGATGTCCATTAGACATGTCAAGTAGGCACCTGGAAATACAGGTCTGGAGGTCAAGGAACAGGAAGAGATAAATTTGGGAGCCAATGTAGATGGTATTTAAACCCATAAGACTGGATGCGATCACTGTCTTAGGGAATGGACAGAAAAGATGAGAGAACCAAGGACTGATCGATCCTTGGGGAACTCCAAAATTTAGACACAAGGGAAATGAAAAGGAATCAGCAAGAGAAACCAAGATATTAATAGTACATGAACTCTGGATGTGTAAAAAATGTAAAAAGAGTTTTAGCAAACTTATTAAGGTTGAATTAACGAGAAAAATAACAGAAAACTCAAATAGAACCACTAGGAACTCTGCAATATTGCTAAAATGATGTGTTCTACAAAGAACCATAATGGAAGGAATGCTCCACTTTTATTTTTTTCTCGCCAACTGAGGAAGACTAAAGACAGGAAGAAGAGCTTGGACACAGATGCTGCCAACTTAGGGCACTGATATGTCCTGCTTCCTGAGTACTGGTGACATTAAAGGCCAACAGGAGACACCCCAGGGGCTGTAGAGAAGAGCAAAATGACTCACAATCAGGTCCTCAACACCTGTATACAGAGGAGCTATCTAATGCAAACTACTATATGGAGTATAAAGAAATTGATTTGTAGGAGTACCTTTCACAGAATATATTCAAAGTCCCATTACATCAGGTAAATTGTAATGCAGTGATTTAGCCAGGGTAATTGGTTTTCATCACCTATAATATTATTAAATAGGAAGTAGCAGGAGCCTCATGGTTACATATGCTATATTTTAAAAAAATCAATCTTTGCACAACTGCGTATAAAAATAGGCAAAAGGTAGAAGGCAGGGAACCAAAAGTTCAATTTAATCCCAAACCCAGGGCCCTGAATTTCCTCATCACTCATTCTCACCCTGAAAATTCAAACAGTTCTATACCCAGTCTCAGTATAAAGCCCAAATCTAAGATGACTCTTTGAACTGCCATCTTAAAGTAAATAAGATCATCGGGATTAGGAAACAGTAATTCCAGTTCATAAATTTAGTGGTAACAATTCTAACAGTGGATTTCCATATGTGAGATAACCTAACCTCTAGTGTTTATTACCTATTGGACTATTTCAGCATCAATTCTGTACAGCATACTACCTATGCTTCCAGTCCACCCCACTGTGGGTGAGGTCAATAATTAAATGCATGTAGGTTCAGGATTGAATGAGGTAGGCAACAACCCAGGATCATAATGCCTTTGCTGACCTTGATTCAGAATCTGATAATAAAGAACATCTTAATGCACAGGTGACCTACCTAGATAAAATGGAAATTAAATAAATCCTCATGACTTAATAGCTCAACTCTGAAAATAAAACTTGCAAGAATCACAGGGAAATTTACCAATGGACCAACCCGAAGACCACCATAAAGTACAGCTTCAAAGAAAAACAACACCTTCAAGAAACTGGAAAGATAATTAGGTAAGATAATATCCCATAAGATAGTGACTTAGTACATACACATCGTATTAAAGATACTGTATCAGAGGTCTTCCAGGAAACTACAAAACAGAAGTTGCATTCCTGATGAAGACAGAATGACAGCAAAAGACAAAACCAAAAAATTACCCACAAATATAATGTTAATGGGTATCTAATAAATTATAGTTAAAATAATTTAGAGGTGGTAGCTATTCAAAGTGACTATAATCAAATTTCAAGAAAAAAGCAGGCCAAGAGCAAATGGCAGAAGAAGAGTGCAAGTACTGAAAATCAAAAGAAAAAGCACTTAGGATGGCTTGATACTAAAATCAGAAGTCAGACTGGATAAAAAAACAAAATACAACTATATTTCATTTAAAAAGCCCACTTTGGGGGACTTCTCTGGTGATCCGGTGGTTAAATTCATGCTTCTGATTCACCAGTTCAATTCCTGATCAGGGAATTAAGATTGTATATGCCGCACTTGGCATAGACAAAAAAAAAAAAAAACCTTCAAACTTTATAAAAAATTTTGCACAGCAAACAGAACTATAAACACAATGAATAAACAAACCACAGAATGGGAGAAAATATTTGAAAACAATGCAACTAACAAAGGATTCATCTCCAAAATATCCAGACAGTTCATGCTGCTCAGTATCAAAAGAATAAACAACCCAATCAGTAAATGGGCAGGGACTTCTCTGGTGGTCCACTGGGTTAAAACTCCATGCTCCCAATACAAGGGGCAAGGTTCCATTCCTGGTTGGGGAACTAAGATCTGGCATTCCTCATGGTGCAGCCAAAAAAAGAAGAAAAAAAAAAGGTGGGCAGAAGATCTAAACAGACATTTCTCCAAAGACAGACAGACAGCCAAAAAGCAAACGAAAAGAAGCTCAACATCACTAATTATTAGAGAAATGCAAATCAAAACTACAAGGGGGACTTACCCAATGGTCCAGTGGCTAAGAATCCATCTTCGAATGCAAAGGACATGGGTTTGATCCCTGGTCAGGGAGAGGAGCAACTAAGCCTGTGCTCCACAATAAGAGAGGCCTATGCAGTTCAACCAAAGAAAGCCGTCAAACCACAACAGAAAGCCCACATGCCACAGCGAAGACCCAGTGTAGTCAAAGTATTAAAAAATTAATAAATTAAAAACAAACAAAAAACTACAATGAAGCATCACGTCACACCAGTCAGAATGGCCATTACCAAAAAGTCTGCAAACAATAAATGCTGGAGAGGGTATGAAGAAAAGGAAACTCTCCTACACTGTTGGTGGGAAGGTAAATTGGTACAACCGTTATGGAGAACAGTATGAACGTTTCTTTTAAAACTAAAAACAAAACTACCGTATGATCCAGCAATCCTACTCCTGAGTATATATTCAGGGAAAACCATAATTAAAAAAGATGCATGCATCCCAATGTTCACTGCGGTATATTTATAATAGCCAGGACACAGACACAACCTAAATGTCCATCAACAGAGGAATAGATAAAGAAGATGTGGTACATATATATAATACAATGGGATTTACTCAGCAATAAAAAAGAATGAAATAATGCCATGTGCAGCAACATGAATGGACCAAGAGATTACCATGCTAAGTGAAGTAAGTCAGACAGAGAAAGATAAGTATCATATGGTATCACTTACATGTGGACTCTAACAACAACAACAAAACGATACAAATGAATCAATTTACAAAACAAACAGACTCACAGATCTTGAGATCAAACTTAGGGTTACCAAAGGAGAAAGGTGGAGGGAAATGATAAATGAGAAGACTGAGTCTGACACATACACACTTCTATATATGAAACAGATAATTAACAAGGGCCTCCTGTAGAGCACAGGACTCTACTCAGTATTCTGTGATAACCTACGCAGGAAAAGAACCTGACAAAGAATGGAGACACACACACACTACATCACTCTGCTGTACACCGGAAACGAACACTGTAAGTCAACTACACTCCAATAAAAACTTCTAAAATTTAAAAATAAAGAGGACTTCCCTCGGGATGCAGTGGAGAAGAATCCTGCTGCTAATGCAGGGGCCACAGGTTTGATCCCTGATCCAGGAAGATCCCACATACCACGGAGCAGCTAAGTCCATGCTCACAGTGACTGAGCCTGTGCTTTGGAGTCTGGCAGCTGCAACTACTGAGCCCACGTGCCACAACCACTGAAGTCCGCGTGCTCCAGAGCCAGCGCTCTCCAACAAGAGGAACTAACACGATGAGAAGCCTGTGCACCGCAACCAGAGTCACCTCCACTTGCCACAGCTAGAGAAAAGCCCGGGCAGTGCTGAAGACCCAGCACAGCCAAAAATAAATTTTAAAAATAAAGTGGCCAAAAAACTGTTAAGAACCCAAAATGTCCAACTGGTTAACAGATGAACAAACTGTGGTCTATCCATACAAGGAAATACTACTCAGAAATAAAAAAGGACAAATTATTGGTATACAAAATATACAAAAGGCATTGTACTTAGTGAAATAAGTCAGAAATGAAAGGTTATGTACTGTATAATCCCATTTACATGAAATCCTGAAAAGTAATAAAAAGCAGACAAGTAATTGCCAAGGGTGAGGATTATAGGGAGAGATCAGACTGCAAAAAGGCATCGGAGAACTTCCTGGAGTTATGAAAACAGTCTATATTATGATCATGGTAGTGATTATGAAACAAAGCAGGACCTTATGGCCCTTGACCGCCCTCCCCACATATCCTCAGCTTGCTTTTTGTCTGTGGAAAAACTTTAGCCAACAAATAAGTTTAATCAGAGACGTGAGAAAATGTAGAAACAAAGGAAAACAGTCCAACAATACTAAATAACAACAGTTGTAATAACAATAGAATAACAATAATTATATGCCAAATATCATACTTAGCATGTACAACATGTAATATAACTACGTAAGACAGTTGTATAATTGTTATCCAAAACAGGTGTCCAGCTACTTGCATCTCAAAATCTAGTAAGGAGGCAATGCTGGTGGAAAGGAAAGTTTGCGTTATTTTGGAGACTGGCTCCCAGGGAGAGAAGGTACTGCTGTCTGTCCAAAGGCTGACTCCCCTGACTGAGAGTTGGTGGGCAACAGCTTTTATAGACAGAGGGAGGGGGCTTCATGCAGATAACAGTACAGTCAGCTCTGACAGTTATCTTGAAATTGGTCATTGGTGGTCTGATCAGCATCATCTTGACTGTTTTAGGTACGACCCTTTGCGACCCTACACAACCCTGTGGATTGTAGCCCATCAGGCTGCTCTGTCCAAGGGATTCTCCAGGCAAGAATACTGGAGTGGGTTGCCATTCACTTCTCCAGGGGATCCTCCCCCCCAAAACCCAACCCTTGTCTCTTAACATCTACAGGCAGGCAGGTTCTTTACCACTAGCAGCATACATTTGTTACAACGTATACATTTATATACTTAAACTGGTGACTATTTCACTTAAAACATTTGTCAAAAATCATGAATTTGTAAACTTAAAACTGGTAAACTTGAAGTATATAAACTACACCTCAAAAGAGCCTATTTAAGAAAAGATGCTTCAGGGAGTTCTCTAGCGGTCTAGTCGTCAGATTTGGTGCTTTCACTGCCCTGGCCTGGATTCAGTCCCTGGTCAGGGAACTGAAATCCTACAAGCTGCGTGGCATAGTCAAAAAAAGAGAATATTTCAAAAAGAATAGGAGAAAAACTTTGAGTAGGAGACAATCAGACAATATTAATTAATTATCATTATCACACTACTACTGTACATATACTGTATGCCAGGTGTTTGATTATATTTTATCTCAAAACCACCAAGCAAATTAGGCATTATTATTTCTATTTTCTTCAACAGATAACAAGATTGAATAACTAGCTAGTAAGTAGCAGAGACAAGATGATTTAAGTCAGTCCAGCCTCTTTACCACAGTTAATCTCTCAGAAAAGGTTCTACTTTATTGGAGTTCAAAAAGCACAGAACTGAGTATAATATAAGGTAGGGTTATTCATATAGGGAGAGTTTAACAGTGTTCATCTACGGGGAATATAGCATTAGTAGGTATAAAAAAGATTTTTATTTTATACTTTTAATACTTCTGAATTGTTTTAAAATATTTTAAAAACAAGTATTTTATACCTTTCAATAACTTATTTAAAAAGATGTTATATAACCCCAAGTAGTAAATTCATAATGGGTCCCATTCTTTTAACTGTTATAACTTTAAAACTGTGAAATATTTAGTAAAATATCCTTGTATATCCCACCTGATATTTAAGAAATGTTCTCTAACATCTAGAAACCAACACTTGAAAATGGCTCCCATTAATCCAAACTCTCTCTCTATATATATATATATATATACACCAAATAAATATTTGTTAAGTATCAGTAATCACACATTAAAATTGTGAAAGATGATGCATCACAACAACAATGCTTACAGGTAAAACTTTTCTTTGTACACACAAGCTAGCATCTGGAGTTTTTCTGTTGAACTCTTTATTAGGAGAGATCCTGGGATAATCAACTGCATCTAATTAAAGTCTTCTTAGAACTGAAAGTGCCTAGTAATCCTGAAGGGAGAAGATATACCAGGAGATTAAATTAATTAGCAGTCAAAGCTAATCAGCAGTAATAAGATTACACATAGGTGGGGTACTAGACAGAAAAGTCTGAAGATTACACGTTTGGTTTTAGGACTCCCTAATGGTCTTCTTGCCTTCAGTCTTTCCTCTTCAAATTACAAATCAACACAGAACTTTTGTAACTTCAGCAACTTGGTTATGAACAAAAGATCCCAAGAAAACTGCAGCAATATGAAACATGCAGGAAACAAGTACTGAAAGTCATTATAAAAAAAATTTAAGGTGGGGCTTGAACTAAAATATCTCGATGATGGGAAAGAAATAAAAGATAAACATGAGCAATGGTATGAATCATAGAAAGAAATCTTAGAATACAGCAGTGACTGAGATATAGGGCTATATAAAAGGCTTGCTAACTTGTTTTCCTATAATATAAGTTACAAAAAGGGAAAAACATAGACTGTGTATAAACTAAGTGGGTACTGAATAAGAAAGAGAAAACAAGGAAAGGGACATAAAATAGGTGAAGGAATTGAAAGACACTTTGGGGAAGACTCTTGAGAGTCCCTTGGACTGCAAGGAGATCCAACCAGTCCATCCTAAAGGAGATCAGTCCTGGGTGTTCATTGGAAGGAGTGATGTTGAAGTTGAAACTCCAATACTTTGGCCACCTNATCCCCTGGAGGACAGAGAAGTCTGGCAGGCTACAGTCCATGGGGTTGCAAAGAGTTGGACACGACAAGTGACTTAGCATGCACACATATATAACAAAACAGAAACTGACTCACATAGAGAAGAAACTAGTGGTAACCAATAGGGAGAAGGGAGAAACGTAAGGTAGGGGTGTGAAATTAAGAAACACAAATTACTATGTATAAAATAAAGAAGCACAAAGATATATAGCAGAGCACAGGAAAATATAGCTATTATTTTGTATTAATTTAAAATGGGGTAAAACCTTTACAAATACTGAATCACTACTTTGAGGTACGCCTCAAACTAATATAACCTTGTAGGCCAACTATACAATAAATTAAAAACAAATATTGTTTTACCTTAAAATAAAAAAGACACTACAGTGGCAAAAAAAAAAAAAAACATAGTTTTTTTTCCATGGAAACTAATGCAGAAATATCATTTTATTATAGAAAGATTATTAAGGGAGAGAGAGGCTTTTTTGAGTGGAAAAGAAGAGCTGTGCTTTGTTATAATGAATTTAAAACTTTGTATAGATATCTAGTTAGAAATATTCTAAGGACAACAAATAAAAACAATACTTTAAATGACTATCACAAAATAGAAAAAATTTTAAGAACCCCTGCATGATTCCCTGAAAGCTTTGATTAAACTCTCCCACTAAAACAAAGGAAGAGAAGAAGTACACTTTCATTTCAACTACACTTTATGTAGATTTAAAAGCACAATTCAGTAGCTGAACATACTGGGTGTTAACTCCTTCAGGCAAAGTACAACCTCAGAAGGCTGTTAACAGAAAGAAAGTTGTGTTATTTCTTTAGTGTTCAGTGAGAGATGAAGAAGAAAAGAAAACACTTACTGTCCACGAGGATACCAACGGTGCTTAGTAGTAAAGAACATTTTACTGAGTTGTTCTATCATGGGTCCTTGCTCTAAGTGTTCACTTTTTTCTTCTAATCTGCTTTTCAGTACTAGATCATGTGTTTCTTCATTGTTATGCACTGGATCTGGCCGAGGGATAGGCTACAAAATAAACAGCAGTGAACAGCAACATGTAGGAACGTTAGCCAGCACCTGATTGAGTTGACGGTAAAATAATTACTTCCACAGTACCTCAAGGTGGGTAGATAAGTCACCAAAATGGTCTCACTGAGTTGCACTATCCGTTAGCAAACCAGAATTTATTTTTGGCTGCACCAGGCATGGCATGTAGGATCTTAACTAGCTCCTCAACTCGGGATTGAAGCTGTGTCCTCTGCAGTGGAAGCACAGAGCCCTAACCACTGGACCATCAGGGAAGTCCCCAGAAATATTTTTCTTCTCATATCAAGTTCTGGGTTTCCTTTCCAATAATAAAGTTATTATTTAAATTTATCTTCTCCCAATAGTAAAGTACTTATTACTTTAGTCTCTATTTCTCAAAACTATAAATTGTGCTCATTATACTTTTTAACTTAAAACTTTATAGTCAGGACTTCCCTGATGGTCCAGTGGTTAAAACTCGATGTTTCCATTGTAATAGACTCGAGTTTGATCCCTGGTCAGGGAGCTGAGATCCCACATATCACATGGCTCAGGCAAAAAACCAAAAAAACAAAAATTACAGTGCCCACAGTCTCTAACATTAAAGTGAGATACAATGGAAAACCTTTAATTGAAAATGACATTTCTTATATCCAAAAGAAACAGGAAAAATTTTCAATATTTTCATTTTAGGTGAGTGCACTGGCATTAAATGATGCTTTATGATAATTTGAGTAGTTTTTTCCCCCAAAGACAATAATTACTAAAAAAAAAAAAATTTCATTTCTTCCCAACACTAGTAAGATAGCATATGCCCATCAGCAACAGTGGCTGACTAAAGCTCTTAAAAATCAGTGCCTTGGAAAGTCAGTTTACCTATATTTTAAATATTTAAGTGATATGACATGTTAACACAAGATTGTAACATTAGGTTTATTAAAAAATATAACATATATAAAATAAAATATATGTATGTTATATATATACATATATAACATATATAAAACATATATATATTTATATGTAACATATATAAAAGACACTTGCTCCTTGGAAGAAAAGCCATGACCAACCTAGTCAGTATATTGAAAAGCAGAGGCATTACTTTGCTGAAAAAGGTCCATCTACTCAAAGCTATGGTTTTTCCAGCAGTCAGGTATGGATGTGAGAGTTGGACTATAAAGAAAGCTGAGAGCTGAAGAATTGATGCTTTTNTATTTATTATTTATTTATTTATTAATTTATTTAGCTTATGTACATGAAAAACTAAAGCCACTTTAAAAGGCAAACTGTAAGTACATGATGGTGGTGCAACTGACTAAGTACTACAGAAATGCAAAATAACAAAGACATTAGTGAAAAATAGAACAGGAGCCAAGTTAGAGCCTTGTCATAGAGTGCAGAATGAGTTCTAGAAGGAATAAAAAACATTACAAGTAAAGCAAAGTAGGTAAAAACACACAATAAATAGGTAATCTTAAAAAAGGGACCCTGAGAAATTAAGATTATAAAAAGCTTTCACAGTTTCAATTTTCGTGGCTCAGTGGTAAAGAATCTGTCTGAAATGCGGGAGATGCAGGTTTGATCCCTGGGTCAAGAAAATCTTCTGGAGAAGGAAATGACAACCCACTCCAGTATTCCTGCCTGGGAAATCCCATGGACAGAGAAGCCTGGCAGGCCACAGTTCATGGGATTGCAAAACGTCAGGCATAACTTAACCACTGAGCACTAAGCACAACAATCTGACATAAGGAGAAATAAGGAACCACCTCCTCAGTGTGGGAGGGAATAAGGAGAAAGTACAATGAAGAGGTTAAGAATCTGGGCTTTGGTCAATAACTACTAACTCTGTGACCTTGGAAAAATTATTGAAGCTCTTAACTTCCTTTCTGTAAAATCTGAGGAGTAATTACCTACTTAATATAGGTTTGATGTGAGAGTTGAGACCATAAAGACATCTAAGAGCCGAAGAATTGATGCTTTCAAACTGTGGTGCTGGAGAAGACTCTTGAGAGTCTCTTGGACTGCAAGGAAATCAAACCAATCAATTCTAAGGGAAATCAACCCTGAATATTCATCGGAAGGACTGATGCTGAAGCTGAAGCTCCAATACTTTGGCCACCTGACTTGAAGAACCAACTCACCGGAAAAGACCCTGATGCTGGGAAAGATTAAAGGCAAAAGGAGAAGGGGGCGGCAGAGGGTGAGATGGGTGAGATGCGTGAGATGGTTAGACAGCATTACTGACTCAACGGACATGAAACTAAGCAAACTCCAGGAGATAGTGAAGAACAGGGAAGCCTGGCATGCTGCAGTTCACGGGGTTGCAAAGAGTCAGACACGACTGAGTTACTGAACAAGCCACTAATATTTCTTTTAAGGCCTCAAACAGGAAAAAAGTGGTATTAATTTATTTATTTATTTTTGAAGTGTTCCTTAAACATTTAAAGTAATTTTATAAGATCATCTCTTTAATATATAGAGGGAAATATATGTCTTTGCAAGTTACTATCAGGCTCTGAAGGATACCAGCAAACACTAGATTAAAGCCTATAGTTTTCTCTCCTTTAGGTTATTGTGTTATTATTGTTTTTAGTCACTAAGTCATTCCTGACTTGTTGTGACCCAATGGATTGTAACCTGCCAGGCTCCTCAGTCGCAATACTGGAACGAATTACCATTTCCTTCTTCAGAGAGATCTTCCCAAATAGGGATAAAGCTGAGTCTCCTGCTTAGCAGGTGGATTCTTTACCACTGAGCCATCTGAGCAGCCCCTTAGGTTACTATACTTGTTACTAAAGATCAAATGTTTTAAATATTATCAGCTATTTTCAAGTTAATAAATGTTCATTGTCTCTCTTCCTATTCCCAAACAGGCTCAATTCTAATACATCTCATATTCTCTCTGCTTTGTATAATTAAAAACATTTTCTTTCCCAGGCACACAGAAAAAAGATACTAGAATTAACGGCTTCCTCAAAGTCTAAACCAAAAGCCTCTACAGACTCAGAACTGACTTTTAGGATGCACTTGACCTCCCTGATCAAATTTCAAAGAAAGGGTACATGAATATTTCAGTAAAAAGGAAAAACTAAAACTGTATGTCAACTTTAAAAAAACATTTAGAACTGTCACCTTGAATTTTCCTTGCTTTTCTTAAGAATTTTTAAAATTTGACTTTTGAAAATTTCCACTAAATCAAGCACTAAAAAGAATTGCCTAATACTTAAATTTTTACTTTATTTTTCCAAATCATTATTTTTTTGTCCCTGGTTTAAAATCTTTATTTTCCTAAACTAGAAATCCTAAATTCTAGAAAAACATTTTTAGTTTCAATAAAACTTATACCTGGCCGAAACAGAAAGCAGGATCTTTTTACCTGGATATTTGGAATATAATCGACATCTAGATGCAAATACAAATTATCAGAAAACCAAGGATATAAATCATTTTAATTTTCTTAAGGTCAGTGTCAGTAGATACTTCTACATATGACCAGGATCTTTGTATGCAATATGCTTTCCAGGGCCTAGAGAATTAAAGGGTCCACTAGAGTTGCAGCTGGGCTTCCCTGGTAGCTCAGATGGTAAAGAATCTGCCTGCAATGCAGGAGACACTGGTTTGATTCCTGGGTTGGGAAGAGCCCCTGGAGAAAGGGAATGGCAACCCACTCCAGTATTCTTGCCTAGAGAATCCCCATGGACAGAGGAGCCTGGAGGGCTACAGTTAGTCCTTGGGGTCACAAAGAGTTGGACACAACTGAGCAACTCAGCACAGCAGAGAACAGAGTTGCAGCTACTTCCTTGAGAAAAGAAAATCAAATCTAAATGTTAAGTCATATTTAAATATAGTTATTTAATGCTATATACTATCTTTGTGAAATTTGTAAATCTAGATTCAAAAAGAACATATTTTAACAATGTATTTTCAAGATTCAAAAAGAACATATTTTAACAATGTATTTTCAAGAATGTTTCCTATTGTAAATAAAGTCCAATTTGTAATTACTTGAGAAACAAAAAATTTCCAAGCTTCTACAAATTTGTATCTCTTAGCTTTAAAACAGAACATCATGGAGAGGACCCAATTTATTTAGTTAATCAACAAATATTTATTGTGCACCAACCAAGTACAAAGGTTTTCCAGGTGCTGATGATACAGCAGGGAACAAAACAGTCAAGGTCCTGTCCTCGTGGAGCTTACATTTTAATGAAGGGAGACACAAAGAATAGCAGGAAAACATCCATTGTGCCAGAAATGGTAAACGCTACTGAGAAAAGCAAAGCAAAGAAGGACAGCAGGGACTCCAGGGGCAGGGGTTCTACTTTAAATGCAGTGGCCAAGGAAGGTCTCTCTAGAGAACAAATAAGGAGAGATCTCAAGGAGAGGGAATAAACTACAGGATTTCTGGGGGGAAAGCATTCAGGCAAAGAAAGCAGTAAGTACATGGGCCCTGAGGCAGGAGCTCCCTAAGTACCTACCTTAAAGAAGAGCAGAGAAGCCACTGCGTAGAGGGATTGCATGTGAACTCACAGGAGTGATCCCCTAAACCAGACAGAGGGATACTGAGGACGCTGGAGAGGGGACAGCTGCTACAGCAAGGGAAGGCAACAAAAGAAGACACAGAGAGACGGGCATGTACGCAAGGGAGTGATGATGACGACGCGTGGAGTCGATCCTAGCTAAGGAGATTGTATGAGATATGTGCCAGACTGCGAAAACACGGGTCCATCAATTGATGGCGGTCTTAATGAGGGAATGAATAGTTCTTGGAGCTGGGAAACTAGCAGGAGTTGGTAGCACACTAATGGAATTCTTAAACATCTAGACAGGGAGAAAGAATTATTTGTGATTAAAACCTCTCTAGAAAACTACCATGGTTTTCCTGTAGGCTTAGACGATAAAGAATCCACCTGCAATACGGGAGACCTGGGTCCGATCCCTGGGCTGGGAAGACCCCTTGGAGAGGAGAACAGCCAACCCACTCTAGTATTCTTGCCTGGAGAATCCCCATGGACAGAGGACCTGGCAGGCTACAGTCCATGGGGTCAGAAAGAATCGGACACCCCTGAGCGACTAAGCACAGCGCGGTATCAGGGAACAACCATGGGAGTGGGGGTTGCTGTAGAGATAAAAGATCAAGAAGTCAGAGGCTGGGGTAGTAGACAGATCATCTACACGGACACTGAAATAACAAAGAATTAGCATACAGTGTTGGGGAGTGTGAAAGTACATTTAAAATCTTCAAAGAAGTGTGGAGGGATGGGGGAGAGAGGATGAGAAGTGAACTGTAGGATGACAGCACAAAAAAGGTAAGTAGATAGCATGGTTTAATGATCCAAACTACAAAGCTAGAAACTGTTAGGGAGGAGGAAAGATGATCTCTGGACATGACAGTGAAGAGCCACAGGGACATCTATTCTATCTCTAGGCTCAGTAGTAAAAGGGTTTAGGAGAGAAAGTATAACTACTTGAGAGAGCCAAGGAAGCACTGGGGCCAGGGTACAGCCAAGTTTCTGTTAAGAATCGGAAGGCAAAGGCAACGTTCTAGAAGCTAGGGTTCTGAGAGACTTTAAAATGATAGTAAGTTTTAATAGAATGTAGAAGTTTTAAGAGTTGGGAAGGATAGAGAGGGAGGTGGGAGAGGGGATCGGGATGGGGAATACATGTAACTCCATGGCTGATTCATGGCAATGTATGACAAAACCCACTGAAATGTTGTGAAGTAATTAGTCTCCAACTAATAAAAACAAATGAAAAAAAAAAAAAAGAGTTGGGAAGGATAGGAAAAGTGTCAGATTCAGGGATGCAAAGAGCTATATGGAGATGAGTCTGGATAGTGAGAAAAGACCACATGATCTTGGACTTTTCTATAACTGCTAACACAGGTATAAAGCACATAACCAGAAAAATAATATGAAATAAAAATGGGAGAAGACACAATATAGTATGAGCTAGAAGTTACAGGTCAAAAATCAGTGGCTTACACCTGTTTTCTATAAACTATTCAAAGAAATGAAACAGAAAAGGTACAAAATTACTGTCTATGATATCTAGCTAGAATACAAAGTAGGCAGACAAAATGATGAAATTAAAAAGAGAATATAAAATAGCAAACTAAAATTAATTTGTTCTATCAAATCAGTACTCTGGCCTTAATTATGATTTTTAAAAACAGCTACCACTAGATGCATCATGTGATGAATCACCTAAGTATTTTTTCCTCAAAAAGCAATTCAAACATTACTGAATATAGTAGAAGAAGGCTTAAAGAAAAAAAGAGAAAGCAATTCATACATAAAATAATAAATAAAGACTTGGGTCAAGTTAAATAAATTGTATTAAAGTAAAAACAAAGCCTCCTTTATCTAATGCTTTGCTTTTGAATAAATATGGAAAATATTAATTAAACTAGGCCACTTAAAATTATGCCCATGTTGGCCATTAGAAAAAACCAACCAAAAAAAGGAAGAAATTCACCAAACATTAAAAGGATGATCAGAACCAACACAATATAAAAGTTATGAAACAGCACTCTAAAATACAAACTTTTCCTAATTTATTAGACTGCAATATACAGTAGCATGAGACAGTGTGTTCCTAAAATTTATACTAAGTGTGTTTGATCCCTAATCAGAAATCTGCCAAATTTTAGGCAAGAAAATTGATGCCATAATTGTGTTTAAATAGTTCACTTTGTGTATTGAAAAAAGTCTTTACAGAAAGAGGAAAAGAAGAGAAAAATCAAAACGGTAAAATAAAAAAGCCAAAAGACGATCAACACCAAATAAAGAAAATCAAACAATTCCTTTCTCTTTGGACACTGTAAAGAAGTGTATTTTCAAGAGCAAATTAAAAATCATAAGAGATTTGTTTATACATACTTTTGTGTGTTCATATGGAATGTCCACAGAAGGGTGATAGCATACTATTGTCCTGGCATCAGATGTCAGAGCAAGCTCTACTTTGCTTAAAAAAAAAAGAAGAACAAATGTTTCAGAGACAGATTTATACTGTATTCAAGGCAAAATGAGTATTAGAGCTCAAATCTGTTAATCACCAATCCCTGAAGAATAAATGCTGTGTCACTGGACTGGCAAAGGAAGTACCCATATCATAGGAAACAACTCAGATCATCCCACAAAACATGGCAATCTAACTACCACAACAAACCCATTACCCATGATTTTATCTAGATTATCCTTCAAATTACTTGTTTTGTTAGTTCTCCAAATCTTTGGAAGAGATCTTCATCTTCACTCATCACTATTAATAGAACTTCCTGCCTTATCTAAAAGCTACCTTCAAAAAGCTGTAAGATTACTTGAATTATTAAAGCTGAAGATCAGCAAAATACATAATCTTCCAGGTAAAGGATCACCTGAATTTCTAATCATAAAGACTGTAGCTGAACACTTTTTCTAATTCAGCATTTCTCCAAGCGCCCTTGGCATAATGCAAAACATGTAAGATTCAATCTTTTCAGGTTCAAAAAGTGCCACCTATTATCTAGTCTTATTTCATCATTATCCTAATACTAAGTTTACAATTAAAACTGGTATCAAGAGGTAAGAAAATATATTTTTACTAAAATTCACAATAAAACAACTTCATGGGGCTTTCCTGCTTCTTCAGTGATGAAAAAAAATCTGCCTGCCAATACAGGTGACAGGGGTTTGATCCTTGGTCCAGGAAGATCCCACATACCACGAAGCAACTACACCCGTTGTGCCAAAACTACTGAAGCCCACAGCTCTAGAGCCCCGTAGCTCCAACTATCAAGGCCCCCCCTTGCCTGGAGCCCGGGCTCCACAAGAGAAGCCAACAAGAGGAGGAGCCGGCACGCAGCAGTGAAGAGCAGCCCCGCTCACTGCAAGCAGAGAATGCCCAGGCAAGTCAACAAAGACCCAGCATAGCCAAAAGTAAGTAATTAAATAAAAAAAAATTTTTAAGTAACTTAAGAAAAAAACATTGTAGCTTCTGCACATAGGACTCTGCTATAAAGGACAACATTCCATTCATATGCTATTCCTAGTTCTTAGCATACTGACTAGAACTGAGTAAGTACCAAATAGTTTGTGGCTGAATTAAATATTTGTAATTTAGGATTATTCAATATCAACAAAAGATAAGATAAACAGTTGTTTAAGCTAATAGATATGAACCCTAAGAGAAAATCATAAAAGTAATTAACTTCTCAAAAATACTAAAGAATGATTCAGGAAGAAAAGACAGCATTTCTATCAGCACATCTGTCTTAGAACAAATGAAGTATTCACTGAAACACAATGATAAATGATTTTTATTTAAAACATTTATAAGTCCAGACACTGGGTAAATAAGAACACTGAAATATTTTTTAAAAAACAAAATTAAAGAAAGAATAATCAGAAAAGAAAGCAGAAAATACCAAAACAAGAAATAAAACAATCATTTCAGATAGAGCTAAGAGACTTTTTTTTCAATTGGATTTCAATACATACCAATTATAGTCATCTGGAAGAGAAGAATACGTAGATTTGTGACCAACACAATATAAGGCTCCGTCTGCAAAAACCCCAAACAGTAAAATGGATTTAGTTCATTTGAGCATATGTTCTCACACAGATGTAAAGTTAGTTTTACTCATTCAACCAATATTTACTATGTTCACCATGAACAGGGCTGTACTTGAGCTAAGGATTCAGCAAGTTGAGATCCTGTCCTCAAAAAGGGTTCAAATGAGGTGAGAGAGGGACACGTAAGCAAACAACCCCAATACAAAAATGAGCCCTGTCAGCACAGAAGACCTGGGAGGAGAAGGGGCGCAGCGGCAAGTTACAAAACAGGAGTACAGGTTCAGGAACACTTTTCCAGTGGAGGCGACCTTTAAGGTGTTCTGAAGGATGAAGCAGTAACTTGGAGTTATTAGTGGATGAGTACAATGTTCCTTTGAGAGGGAGCAAAAAGTGCCAACGATCAAAGGAAAGAACATAAAACTTCAGTGTTGGGAATTCACTGGCGGTCCAGTGTTTAGGACTCAGTGCATTCACTGCCGGGGTCTGGGTTTGATCCCTAGTCGGGGAATTAAGTATCCTACAAGCCCGGGAGTACAGTCAAACAAATAAATAAAAACTTTAGTGTAACTGGAGTGCACAGTCCATAAAAGGGGAGTGTTTAAGTGACAAAATACAAAATAAACTCCTCAAAATCAACTTTTCTTAATCACAATGCTGACATTTCCTTTTTTAAGAATACCTGCAAATTCAAAAGCCATATTTTTTTAACGGTTTGTAAAAGGTTTCTCTACATTCAGAGAAATGATAATTATTTTAAATATAAAGGAAAAATATAGTTCAGTATGGTTAAAAAAAACTGAATAAATCTTCTGTAGAGAAAGATCAACTTCTCTCAACTAGTCTCTTGCTCCTCAGTATGGAATGCCATCCCAAGTTGGTTCAAATACCACTCATCTTTCAAAAGCCAAATGCTACTCTTCCATGAAATTCTTTTTCCCTTCTCCCTGCCCGACAGCCCCCATCACAGAAGAGCTATTTTGCACGCTCCACAACCAACACTCCATACAACACTGATATACCATCTTTGTGGTCTTTTTTCTTTTTTTCAATGCACCGTTATTTACATGTATCAGAGACATCTAAACAAAGATGTATTTTCCATCTTTGTATACCTCTCCTTTTCCCAAGGATTGTATATACTTAAGAGTTCTAAATATAAATCCTTACTCCAATACATTAAAAAGTACCTTAACAAAACTCACTAGACCATAAAAGATTCTTCAGCAAAATGTTGACCCCACAATTCCATTGATGTAAAGATAACAAAAATACAAAGAATTAGAAATATAACTTCATCTTTCAAAAGATTTATTAATTTTCATTATCTGTGCTAATACAGAGGTGTATTCATCAAGACAAATCAGAGGGTAATGTAAAAATCATTTACACATATTTTATTTTCTTGTTTGACATCGTTGGGGACCTTCTTTTTTTAACTATGCATGGATTAGTATTAAAAGTTATTTGTATTCTCTGAATACAACCAGCTAAGTGATCTACATGCTTGCTGAAAGAAACAGGGTTGGGTGGCAGAGGAAGGACAGAGAGAATTTACCATTTTTAGGTAGGCAAGAGGAAAAACTCAAGACAACAAGACTTTCAGTTCAACAGAAACTGCAAAATTTCTACTCTGCACTTACACAGACATTTGTTGTACCCTCATGACATACCACATTCTACCTTCCATTCCAGGTATTGTTTCCATAGTTGTCTATTTTAACTACGAGTCTAAATAAATTCTTAAATGGACATCCTGCTTATTAATGTGTCCCCTATCGTGCTTAATAAAAAAGAAGAGATTGCTAAACTGCTTCTGAAATGTTAATTTCTGTATAATTAATACTTAAAAAACTTATTTGACATTTTAGCAAGAGAAAAATTCTAGACATGGTTAAGTATCAGAAGTTCTAAAGGCATAATTAGGACTGACGCCAAAGTTAACATCAATCAATCCAAAGCAACTCAATATGCCAAAAAGAATTTCCCATGAGAGTCAGTTCTCCACAACTCAAGGACTTTTCCTGTTTTATGTATATATTTATACACACACAGAGAGTTTAATTGCATTATGATATGATCTATAAAAGCTGAGAGTCCCATTCATTTTCAAATGCTGTATTATTTTAAATTACTACAACAAAGATGGTCTAGCAGAAAGTATATTGAGAAGACACAGTTTTGATCTTAGCTCTAATTTATCAGATATGCAACTTGGTTGAGTTTCTGATGGCCAGAGAACTCATGTTCCTTCATCTTCAGAAAGAGAATACCACCACATGATAAGTAAATTATTGTAAAAATCAAAGTTGTAAACATCAAAAGACTTAAGATGCTTAAAAGTTGTAAAATTTCTACACTGACTATATATTTCAGAAGGTTTTAAATGTTATTTTTGGAGTATAGGAAGGCCTTTTTATTTGTGCTCATTGAATTTTCCAGTAACTGTTTGCTTTGGCTCTAATCTTTCAACATCTTTCCCTTTTGTATAAAATATCAATAGCAACAGTAACAATAATATTTTACCTTCACTAGTAATAATACAAATTGTGTAGAATAGGGGGCTTAAGGATGCAAGAGGTTGGGTAGTAAGAGATTATTAGGATGACTGAGTGATGATGGAGTAATATTCTGGGATAGCCCAACTGGTGACGTCTACATAGACATTTTTAACTTTTCCAGGGGCAGATTAACTGGTTTTCAGATTAACCTGAGTGAGGACAAACTGCTGTTTCAGGACATGGACTAGGTAAAAACTGATAAGGCCTGATTTCCCGGGGGGCTGAGTTCTTATCAGGGCAAAAGAGAGACTAATTGCAGCAGCACTCTCTCCCCAAGTCCTCAACAACAACAAAAAATGCTCCTAGGTAATCAAGGGCTGACTGCAGTTTTGTTTTCACTGATTTTAGTGTTTACTTAATTATACTTTTACTCATATAGTTTTTACCCACTAGTCTTCAAATAACTCTTTTCCTCTTAACTCAATAGAAATGTTCAATTACAAATGGTAGTCAACAGGAAACATGGACAAAGAGATTAAGATTGGGCAGAGATGAGTAAAAAAGTTAGCTGACTAGCTAAACATGAAAAAGAAAACCTACTGTAGCGTTCTAACCATGTCTGCTTTAGAAATGGGAGGATGCAGTTCACAAACAGGGGAAAGGGGAAGAGAAAAGAAGGCTGGTCGGGAAATAAGATTTTAATTGCCTGTTTATTTATATAGGTCAATGTTTTGACTATCAAACATGCATTACTAGGCTTTGAAGAAAATATTACACTATGTTTCTTCAGAAAAGGAAGAAATTACATTTTTAAAAAAAATTACATAGAAAAAATACAAAGAGAGTACACCAAAATATTAACAATAGTCATCTTGTAAGATGGAATTGCACAATTGGCCCTTATTTGCTAATTTTAAGAACTGCCGAAAAAGTGGTATGTGAGGACTTCCATGGTGGCTCAGTTGTTAAAGAATGTGCCTGCCAATACAGGAGACATGGGTTCAATCCCTAGTCGGGGAAGATCCCACCTGCCAGGGAGCAACTAAACCCTAGCGCCACAACTACTGAGCCCAGGAGTCTCAACTGCTGAAGCCCGAGTGCCCTAGAGCCCCCGCTCCACAACAAGAAAAGCCGCCTCAATAAGAAGCCCCAGCACCGGATAAAGAGTAGCACCCAGTCCCTGCAACTAGAGAAAAAGCCTGAGCGACAACAAAGACCCAGCACAGCCAAATAAATAAGTAAATACTTTTTTTAAAAAAGCAGTATGTGAAAACGTAAGTAATTCAAACCAGAAAAAGGTTTTCCTTATTAGTCCTTCACTTGGCCTCAGTTAAATCCCACTTGTGGTCTACAAAGGTAACTTACTTGGTCCACATCTTTTACTCTTCATTTATAAATGCCTATATACATGTACGGGTCAATCATCTTTCAAATGCACAAATTAGATCATAAAATAGATACTGTCTGACATACACCCCTTTCTATATAAGGATCTTTCCACATCATGCAATATGTGGCATACATATGACTCCTATACAATAGCAAGCATATACAATAACTAAACACTGTAAATTTTCTTCAGTGAACACGTATTATGATATTATAATATTTGAAAAAGTTTAACATCTCTTAAACATTAAAAAAAAACAACACCCAACTTACTTTGAATTGGAAATAAATGTTTCAAGATAGTTCTGCTTGATATTGCCCATTTTACTGCTGCCAATGCCATGGTGAATCAAAATGCTTATCAGGTGGTATAAAGATGATCTGAAGAGAAACTGCTTTTAAAATCGGCTTCTAGATACAACAATCTTCACTCCTGCATGAGAGATAAAGAAAAATCAGTGCTGCCTATGATAAACTGAAGCGACACAACACACTGAACACCACAAAACAGGATCGCTACCTAAAACTATAGACACTAACGCAAAACTTTTTAAACAACTTTCTGTTTCCAGGCAATACAGGACAAAGAGCAGCATCAGCAGAAATCCCATAACTATGTGCATTACTACTCCTCTTAAATGCAAACTTCTCAACACCTGGTATAGTTATTTCCATTCAATGAGTGCACAGCCAATGTGTAACTATTAGAAACAGTCAATCACACATGCTACGCAGAGCATTCTCCTTTCATAAAGCTAATGTGTCTGTGTACAACTTTCCAGGTACCATATACAAGATCTTAATACATCTCTTAAAATAGTGTTCTGTTTCTGATTGAATGAAATATTAAACAAGAAGACCCAACCATAGCTTATTAAATATTGACTTAGAGAAACCCACATAAACATCCTATCCCAAAGCCCCAAATAAAATTTTGCCCTTTTATATATGTATGAGATTTCTACCTTTTCAAGGTGCTTTCACTATCATTCATTTTACTCTCATATTAATCATGAGAAGTATCTTTATTTTGACTCATGAAGAAATTAAAGTACAAAATTTAAATAACTTGCTTCCAAGAGCCTCAGAGTCAATCATTAACAAATTGGGAAAGTTTGGGCAAGTCATCAAGCAATCCTCTCAGTTCCTTCCACGGTAAAATGGGGGGAAACAACTCCAGGCTGCTGTGAATAAATGACATACATCACTCGTTCTCAACTGACTATTCGATTCCCCACACCCCATCCCCGCACAGTGGTAAAATCGTATTTTATCAGTCTTAGTTGCTAAACTATGCAGCTGACTCCTTGCACTGTCAGTACATTAGCACTGATATCCCTGAGTTCCTTTCTATAGTTTACAACCCATTTTCCTATACATTATATGCTCTTTCAGAAGTGTAGAAGTAGGCATCTCCACTTGAAAAATTAAGAACCTAGGCTCAGACAAGTCAAATGGTTTACCGCTACTTAATAGGTGGTATGGATGAAACGCAAACCCGTATCTTCTGACTACGAACTGAGAAACAGAACTTTTAAAACGACATTCTGTCTGAAACTCAGGGATCAGATTATTCACCTCAAAAAGAGAATTCAGAGAGTATATCCCTTGGCCTGGAATTCAACCCTGAAGAAATACAGGGTTGCAGGGAGCCTGAGAGGGACGGAGGTTTGAGGAACAGGCTACCAGACCTAGCACCTTTCACCTGGAGCGTAGCTCCCACAGGAAGCCTAAGTCTGGTAACCCCAGAGGCTTTATCCTGCCGTAGGATAGGAAGTAGGAGACCTCAACACTTGCCAATAAGCCTTCTGGGCCCACCGAGCTTCTAGGGACTCCTAGACGGGAAAAAGAGAGGGCATCGGTTACCTGAACTGCAGCTCACCGCAAACCCGCCATCTTGCCTCAGTCCGGGCTCTAGGCAGCACAGCTCCACGTGCCTTCCTGGCCCGCGGGGCACTCTGGGAAATGTAGTCTCCGCCGGAAGGATCCGAAGGTGCCAGGGTAGGGGTTTTGCGGCGGCGGGGGCGGCGGAGCAGGGATTCATCCAACCTGCTCCCGGGTTTAGTTGCAGCAGTTCGCCAGCAACTTTACTAGCACCATTTCCAAAAACAAATCCACTACTCCCAACGCATATCCTTAAGAAAGTAACAAACAGTATTTTTTTTAAGTTTATACTAATAATCGGAGCAACTTGAGATCCATCCTCGGATAAGTTAGGTTTCCTACGGAAAGAGACATTTCAGAGAAGCATTGAAGGAGTAGTGGCGTTGGATTTAATGTTTGAAATGGGGAAGCGGGGCGACCCTTCAACCTAAAAGCCCAGCACTGTGTTTTGAGAACGGTGCTGGTTATTTATTATGGGAGGAAAAGACATGTGCAGAATCCTGAGCCTTGTCTTGTATCTTAGAGGGAAGAATAGGCCACGCCGTAAAGTCTTTCCGGACTATGCTGTAGGGGAAGACAGCGAGGAGAGACAGATTGGAAGGAACTGTCAGTGGACTCGTCAAACATTCACTGTGCAGAGCTGAAAAGAGACGGATCAAAGACGATTCCAAGGACACGTCCGGTTGGCTGTGAGCCGAGTGGGGACCGCTGACCAACAGGGGGGCTCAGTGGGGCGAAGAAAGGCTCACAAAGCTGAGACCAGAAAAGAAACCAGCCGTACGCCTGTGCACGTAAGGAGTGAGTGTAGGAAAAGAAAAGTACCCAGAACCTAGCCAGGAAATCCCAACATTTAGCGGTCCGGTGGAGGAGGAGGGTCAGCAAGGGCCTCTCAGAAGCAGCAGGAGAGAAGCAGTATGAAAACCAAGGGGCGCAGTCAGAGAGAGTGTCAGGAAGAGTTTGATAAATGTAGAGTTCAGTGTCAGCAGTTTTTAAACTGTAATTTCCTACCTGTTGCCCTTTGATGTATAATCTGTCACTTTTTGTCTCTTTGTGTATCTGTGCTATGATAGTAGCTAACAGTTATTAGACACACTATGTTTTTAAAGTCCTGTGGCCAGTGATGGAGCTGAGATATGAACCTGCCAGCCTGATTCTTCTTCAGCCTCCCTCTCTTTCACACAAACACATTATGTTTAGGTTTTCTTTTATTACTGTTAATATATTAATACATATATCAATAAACACATACATGCACAATAAACTATCTTTTCTAATATACCTTTATTGCACTTAACTGTGTATCATGAACATCTTTCCTACAAACACCTTAAATATTGTCAGTTTCAAACCGCAAGTCTCCTGGAGATCATCAGGACTTATTTAAATGAGCAAAGATTCTCACAGTATAAAGTTTTTTCATTATTAGGTGCTTTTATGCAACTCCTGCTGCTGCTGCTGCTAAGTTGCTTCAGTTGTGTCCGACTCTGTGCGACCCCATAGACGGCAGCCCACCAGGCTCCCCTGTCCCTGGGATTCTCCAGGCAAGAACACTGGAGTGGGTTGCCATTTCCTTCTCCAATGCATGAAAGTGAAAAGTGAAAATGAAGTCTCTCAGTTATGTCAGACTCTTAGCGACCTCATGGACTGCAGCCTACCAGGCTCCTCTGTCCATGGGATTTTCCAGGCAAGAGTACTGGAGTGGGGTGCCATTGCCTTCTCCGTTATGCAACTCCTAAATTTATTAAATTTATTCTACTGCACTCATTCATTCTACAAATATTTATTGAGCACTTTTTAGATGTACCAAACACCTGAGTAACAGTCTGTGTCTTTAGAGATTACACATCAAGTGGGGACCACAGATAGTATATGCATAATTGTATAAGTAATTTATTTTATTATCCTTGTCTTGAGTGCCTCAGAGGGAAAAAATGCCGTGAAACATATAACTATTAGTTATAAGCATATTGGTGTCTGACTAGTCTATTAGGGTTAGAAAAGGTTCCCCTGTGGATATAAATGTAAGCAGAAATGTGAAGGAAGGGTAGAAGTCATGAAGATGAAGAATACAAGAGAGTAAGGGCCTTGAGTAAGGGCCATAAGGTCGGGAGCAGTACACGATCCTTTCAAGAAACAAAAATAAGGTCAATGTGACTAGAATACAGAGTGTTAGCAAAAGTGATGAAGCTGGTGACAAAGGTAGATCTATTTTATACTTTTAAGAAATATTTCACTCTTGACAGGTAATATATAAAAAGAACTTTCTGAGAGAACACATATATTTGAACTTAACCAAAAAATAAGACCCTGTTTTTCTAGTACACATTGAGTATTCTCCTTAAGAAGTGTCCCCTTGCCTTGTTAAGATAAATTACATATGTTTAATAACATTGATAAATGATCCCACCAGAAACCATAAGAAATTTACACCAGAAACTGTTATTCCCCAATAGCTCTGTTTCCCTTTCCTCCATATTAATAGAACCCCTAATCTTTGACTGAGTATACATCTACTCTGAATTTAAAAATCTACACTTCCCAACCTCCCTTTCAAACATGGATGAGGTCATGTGACTTAAGTGCTGGCCAATGAGATATATGGACCCAACAGAAGCAGAAGATATTAAGAAGAGGTGGCAAGAATACACAGAAGAACTATACAAAAAAGATCTTCATGACCTAGATAACCATGATGGTGTGATCACTCACCTACAGCCAGACATCCTGGAGTGCACAGTCAAGTGGGTCTTAGGAAGCATCACTGTGTATGAACAAGGCTAGTGAAGGTTATGGAATTCCAGCTGAGCTATTTCAAATCCTAAAAGTTGATGCTGTTAAAGTGCTGCACTCAATATGCCAGAAAATTTGGAAAATTCGGCAGTGGCCACAGGACTGGAGAATGTCAGTTTTCACTCCAATCCCAAAGAAAGGCAATGCCTAAGAATGTTCAAACTACCATACAATTGCACTCATTTCAAATGCTGGCAAGGTAATGTTCAAAATCCTTCACGCTAGTTTTCAACAGTACATGAACTGAGAACTTCCAGATGTACAAGCTGAATTTAGAAAAGGCAGAGAAACCAGACGTCAAATTTCCAAAACCCATTGGATCATTGAAAAACAAGAGAATTCCAGAAAAACATCTACTTCTACTTCACTGGATCACAACAAACTGTGGAAAATTCTTCAAGAGATGAGAATACCAGACCACCTTACCTGCCTCCTGAGAAATCTGTACGCAGGTCAAGAAGCAACAGTTAGAACTGGACATGGAACAACAGACTGATTACAAATTGTGAAAGAGTATGTCAAGGCTGTGTATTGTCACCCTGCTTATTTAATTTATATGTAGAATACATCATGAGAAATGTCTGGCTGGATGAAGCACAAGCTGGAATCAAGATTGCTGGGAGAAATATCAGTAACCTCAGATATGCAGAAGATGCCACCCTTATGGCAGAAAGTGAAGAAGAACTAAAGAGCCTCTTGATGAAAGTGAAAGAGGAAAGTGAAAAAGCTGGCTTAAACTCAACATTCAAAAATCTAAGATCATGCCATCCAGTCCCATCACTTCATGGCAAATAGATGTGGGAAACAATAGAAACAGTGACAGATTTTATTTTCTTAAGCTCCAAAATCACTGTGGATGGTGACTGCAGCCATGAAATTAAAAGACGCTTGCTCCTTGGAAGAAAAGCAAACCTAGACAGCATATTGAAAAGCAGAGGCATTACTTTGCTGACAAAGATCCGTCTGGTCAAAGCTATGGTTTTTCCAGTATTCATGTATCAGTGTAAGAGTTGGACCATAAAGAAGGCTGAGCACCGAAGAACTGATGCTTTCAAACTGTGGTGTTGGAGAAGACTCGTGAGAGTCCCTTGAACTGCAAGGAGATCAAGCCAGTCAATCCTAAAGGATATCAGTCCTGAATAATCATTGGAAGTACTGATGCTGAAGCTGAAACTCCAATACTTTGGCCACCCAATGTGAAGAGCTGACTCATTGGAAAAGACCCTGATACTGGGATAGATTGAAGGCAGGAGGAGAAGGGTCGACAGAGGACGAGATGGTTGTATGGCATCACTGGTTCAATGGACATGTGTTTGAGCAAGCTCTGGGAGATGGTGAAGGACAGGGAAACCTGACATGGTTCAGTCTGTGGGGTCGAAAAGAGTCGGACAAAACTGAGCGACTGAACAATAACAATGCGATGTAAGCAAATGTGTCTTTGGCTCTTCCCAAATGCTTTGCAAAATACCTGACATATAGTAAAGCACTCAGTCAATACTAGCAATAATTTTACCTTGTAGGTGCTTAATAAATACTTGTGTAATAAATTTTTATGAATATCTTACCCAAAGAGATCACCTACTTCTTAGACATTGAAATGTAATCCTTCCCTTTTGACTGTCAGGAATAATCCAGTGAATGTAATGAAAATTTAAAAAAGGACTTAGTCTAAAATGGACAATAATGATTTCTAGCTTTAAGTTGGTATATCACTTAGTCTCAGCAGAAAGCAAATGACATTCTCAGCTGGTATCATTCTGAGCGGTTTATTTACAGAGGCATTCTTTAAGGGGGTGTGAGTGGAATCACACAGAGCAGTGTTAGTATAACCCGGGCTTGGTACTATTGGCTGTTCCTTCCAGATCAGAAGGAATAAAGAGGGGGAGCAGTTCCTGGACTCCCGGAGAGAATCCTGTAGTTGGCTACCTGGAGGAGAGCGGTCAGCTGTTGAAGGACATCGCCAGCCTGATGTGACCTTGCCAGGAACCATCCAGGGTAATAATTACTCTGACTTCCCTATCCTTTCCGTCTCCAGTCTCCTGCAAGTGCTTCTCATTGGCCCAAACCAAGCAGAAACCAGAGGTGAGAGAACCCCCTCCATGCAGGGTCGTCTGATCAGGTTAACTTCCAGGAGAACAGAGTGGATCAGGCAAAGAGTGGATTTGGAAGAGAGAAAGGCAGGTTCTTGGCACCATGTCAGAGTAAGTGCCTTGGCGTATTCTTGGTGCTCTGACTGTAAAGTCAGAGATTGGTAATCCAATTGGATGTTATT